GGTCTTTTCCAACCTAAACGATTCTATGATTCTATGTGTGAGTTGCAAGAACATTATTTCTAACTGATGTCAGTGCTGAATTGACTCATTGGTCTTTTTTTTTTTTTTTTTCCTTTTTTCTTTTTTTCATTTAAAAGGGAGTTTAAAGCAGTGGAAATGTTGTGTTCATAGATGTTGGGAAAACTTGGCTGATATGATTATACTCATGTGATTGGCTGTGACATTGCTCATGTTTTTACTCTTGTCTTTATTCCAGTAATATGTCTGATGCTCTTGCAAATGCAGTATGTGAACGCTGCCAGACTCGATTTGATCCCGCAGAGAGGATTGTGAACAGCAATGGGGAGCTGTATCATGAAAACTGCTTTGTCTGTGCTCAATGTTTTCGTCAGTTCCCAGATGGACTTTTTTATGAGGTGAGGTCTCATATTGTGTATAAGAGAAGAGAAATGGCTCCATTAAAATGCAAGGAATTAGGTGAAAATTCTGGCAGAAATACGGATTTCCGTCTTTCTTGCATGTTTAATTTCTTAGCCCTAAACCTTTGTTGCTATTTCTTTGAGGGGCTTCCGACTTAATTTCCTTTTTTTTTTCTTCTCACATACTCCTTCCTATACATCAGTAACAACAAAAACTGTGTGCTTGCTCTTTGGGTAAGAGGCATTTCAAAAAGAAAATAGAAAATGTTTCTTAATGTTTCATTAGACATAAGTGAGTTTTTTTCTTCATTTTTAAACATTTTGTACCAAACTTTTCCAATTGGGCAACTGAAATCGGTGAACCCATTTAAAAATTAGGTTGAAATATTCTTACAGAATATGTGCAAGCACGTATTTTGAGTAATACATTATTTTAAACATGCTGCATTCTTAATTTGCCATGAGTTTTAGCCTCACGTAGTAGAAGTAGTTCTGAATTGCATGAGTAAAAAAAATTAAAGCAAAAATTAAATTAAAGCCAATTATAGGAAAAGGGCTTTGAACACTTCAAGATCTTTACTGTCTTGTAGCAGCATTGCTATTAATTTAACTATTTGCTATGCAAATTCACCATGAGGCTGAAGCCATATCTGGATATTTCTTTAAGAAAAATCCTTAGGATTTTAAAAACAGGTGAGGGGGGGCTAGAACTGGAAAACTTGACTGATCTTGACTAATTGGTCATTTCAGTGGAAAATCATACTGAGCTATTAAGACGTAAGAGTAGCTCAGTTATTCATCAGCGCTCCTTCTCTCTTGTTTTGTTCACAGTTTGAAGGTCGGAAGTACTGTGAGCATGACTTTCAGATGCTGTTTGCTCCTTGCTGTGGGGAATGTGGTAAGATGTGGTGCATGTCAGCACTGTGGGGTAACAGCTACAGGGCTGTGCAAACCTGCCACCATTGCATCCAGCCCTGGCCTGAGACTGTTGAGGTCATTTTAAGGAGCAGGAGCTCTGGAGGGAAACAAAGCATGAGACCAGCAGTGATTTGGGGTATCCTGCTTGTGGGAATAATTGGGGTTTTTTTCAAAGTTAGATTGTAATAGTTCCTGTGGTATTAAAATGGAAGGATTATGAAGGGCAGTAGACTTTTGATAAAACTTGTTTTCTGCATACATCTGAAGGTGTTGCTTTCCTTTTGCAGGTGAGTTCATTATTGGGCGTGTTATCAAGGCAATGAACAATAACTGGCACCCAGAATGTTTCCGCTGTGAGCTCTGCGATGTAGCACTTGCTGACCTGGGTTTTGTGAAGAATGCTGGCAGGTAAGATAGAGCAGGAGCTCTGAAAGTTTTATCAGTATGTTATTGATACAGTAGTGAGACGTTGAGAGTGGTCAATTAGTGTACACTGAGAGATAAAGCTTGGAAAGGTACAGAAGAAGCTTTAAGGAATAGCCTGATAGGAGATGGGAAATGGAATAAAGAATGGCGTACTTCATCCACTTAAACATGTAGAAAGCAGAAACTCAAATTTTAGTAGCTAGTGGATGGGTTCTGGAAAAGAAAGGGATTTCAGGCAAGAGGCTGAATGGCAAGTGAGAAAAAGGGATTATGTGATCCTGGGCAGGCTATTTACCAAGTAAGCTGCTGAGCAGGAAATCAAGATACAGCAAAAGGCCAAGAGAATAACACGACAGTTACAGCAAAGCCTGTTCAGCATGTGATTCCCCTGGTCTTTGGAAATCATTCATTTTACATACAGAAATATAAAAATAAGTCCTAAAGGTTGATTAATGCATTTAATTAAGAAGTAAGAAATAAAAACATAAAAGGGAACTTGTACAAAAGCCTATCATGATAAGAAAATAAAATAATCCAACAGTTAGCAGACAGTGTTGCACAATTCATAGTTAATTTCAGGCTTTCATCTGTCTTGAGCAAAGCCTAGTAGTTTCCTAGAGTGTACATTCTCTTGTGAAGGAGGGAAGGAAAGGTTATATACTTGTACCCTGTCCAGCAGGGAGTCCCCTCAACTCCCTCTTCTCTTCCATCCTGCATGCAACTTCTGTGACTTAGTTTTTGGAGCTGGACATAACTGATTTTTTTTTTTTGACACCTAAGCTTGTTAGAATGGGCTGTTGTGATAGCACCTAGGGTGTTCTGGGAAAGCAGTCAGGATTGAAGCAGTTCAAGCAAGATAAAGTGTGTTTGATTTCATAATTTGTAGATCAAATCTAAAATGGTAAGGAGCTCATTCTCAAAAGCACAGAAAAGGGATATGTGTGTGTATGTATCTACACATTAAAAAATATAATTCACCTGTCACATGATTTCCTACAATATTTATCTCCATAGCATAGAAGCGGTCTTCTAGTAATATTATTGGAAACTCTTGGGTTTCTTTTCCCGCTTCTCATTGTACCTCGTCTTCCCTAGTCTGCCTGTCATTTCCAGACATATTCCACTGGATGCAATTTGTATCAGTGAGGATAGTTAAGGTAATCCTTGCTTTATCTGTAGTGAAGGAATAGTCTGCTAGGTAAGTCTCAGAAAATAATTGTAAAACATCTCAAAGACAGGCATCTCTTCTGGACAAAGTGGACTTCTTCATATGCTTACTTTTCTTCACTTTTGCTATTTGGGTTCATATTTTTATGATTCGTTATGTAGTAAAGATGAATGCTGTATTCCTAAACAGCCCTTTTTCACTCTTTAGTTTGAGGGTTATCAGGATATCAGGTTATCTGGTGTTTTGCAGGGAACTATGTAAAAGAGGCAGTGTAGTAACTGTTGTCCATCCTCTGTCTGCAGCTTTGAGACAGTGGCAGAGGGCAGATAGAAAAGGTAGTATGAAGCTCATCTCCATCTCTGAATGCTGGGAAGTAGTAAAATTATAAGTCCTATCTTAATTCCAGTCCAGGTTGGGTGCATTGCAGCATTTTAGTCTTGTTTTTTCTTGCCACCATTTAGTACCAATTTTCTGTCTACTATGTATAAACGCTTTGAAATCAGAGACTTGAACAACATGTGTAAGCATTCTGTCATTTCATCAGCATCAGGCAGGTCGATCTCAGGAGTGGATCTCTACTGCTGGCACAATACAATATTTTAAAGTAGGCTGTATGCATTGTGCAGAATAGTTGCTGAATGCTTTGGGAATTAAGTTCTTTTCTTTTTTTTTTCTTTTTTTTCTTCTTTTTTTTTCTTTTTTTTTAAATGTCCATTTAATAGCCTCTTTGCTACTTTCCATATTCCTAAGTGTTTCCATATTTCTAAGTGTTCCTAAGCCCTCAGTTTCACATCCGGGAAATCAGTAGAACTGTACTTCTGTTTGCAGTTTCAGTAAGACAAGAACATGTGATCTCTGTTGTCAGAGGGGTTCTTGCTGATTGCAGTCCCATAAAAACAACAGGACTTCCCTCCTCAGGAGGAGTGACTGTGGGTGGACTATCTCGCTGCATATTTGCGCTCTCAACTGATTTTGGTGGAATAGAACGTTCTTAAGTCAAAGCAGTGACAAGAGTCATGTTCACAGTTCAGATTTAGCACTCAGTGAGCTTTCATTTGTCTTGCCCTCGTATGTTTGAGGCAACATTACAGTCTTTTTAACACAAAACAGATTGCACAAAGCCTCACGGAATTTCTCAGCTACAAAAAAATACATGACAGGGTCAAAGGCACCATTTAGACTTGTGAGGCAGGAAGTGATGCGGTTACTGAGGGCTAGAATACGCTGTGTTTCACAGGAGGTTTTGGTCCCATTGTAATGGAGAATATAAATGTAGCGATTGACATGATAAGGTACAAAGCAAATGAGAAAGATCATCAGGACCATGATGATCATTTTGATAGCTTTTTCCTTCAGGTGTTTCTCTACTCTGTTTCCACTCTTTAGGCTTCGGATGATTAATAAGTAGCAAGTCACTGTAGTAACAAATGGGAAGGTGAATGCCACTGCTAAGGACACAAGGGCATGACGTGATGCCTTTTCTCTGTAGAGCTGCAGGCAGACAGTTGTGTTTTTCATCTTGACTGTCTGCACGCTGAGCAGCAGAGGTGCCATTGCAACCCCAACTATAACCCATAGAAAGGCACATGCCAAATGGGCATAAAGGGACCTGCGGAGCTTGATGGACTTCACAGGGTGCACAATGGCTAGGAAACGGTCAACACTGATACACATGAGGAAATAGATGCTAGCGTACATGTTGAGGTAAAAAAGGAAGCCAGTGAGTCTGCATGGGATTTCACCAAACGGCCAATGATTACCAGAAAAATGGTACACCAGCCGGGTGGGAAGTACCAGCACAAAGGACAGGTCAGCCACAGCAAGATGCATCAGGAAAATGTTGGCAGGTGTGCCTGACTTTTGGTCCCGGATGAAGAGCCAAAGAGCCAGGGCATTGCCAACAAAAGCTAGGATGAAGTCCAGGAAGTAGAAAGTGGCAAAAAGGATGTTCTCGAGGTGCGTCTCTTTACCACATTGCTCTGACACTTCCAAAGAGAAATTTGATGGATTTGAGCAATTGAAGAGTAGGCTTGAGGTATCTGCTGGGTCATTCATTTTTCACCAAAGTTTTGAAGAAAAAAAACCAGCACAACCTGGAAGAATTGAGACAGTATATTACAAAAGAGCCTGGTTTTGTGAAGGGGAGAAAAAAAAAAAAACCCAAACCCAAAAAACCCACTCAAAAAACCACACATGGAAATCAGTGATGTCTCCTGCTTGCTAATATTGGTATTTAATACAATAGGTCAGTCTGAGTTTAAACCATTATATTAAAATTCTGAATACCTCTTGCTCGGCTGGGTTTTCCAGACCATTAATTCCTGTTGAAGGAACCACTATAAAGAGCTAGCCAGCTGATTATGAGCTTGTCTCCAACCTGTGCTGAGATCAGTTGAATAAGAGAGTAGTGAAATGCGTGTGTGGTTAATGGAAGCGTGGAAGTGGGTTCTGTATGTCTAGCTAGAAAGTATTTGCAATGTTTAATTTGAAAGCCTGATTCAGGGCTGAAGAGCTCCTAAGAAGTCGGCTTTTCTGAGCGCAGGTATCTGTTGTAAGGTGACCTAGCTTAGAATATCTGTCTTCTTCCTAGAAGAGGTGGAAGACAGGTCAGGTATTGCTGTTACTAAGAAAAACCAGCAGGGTTCCTGAAAATCTTTGAGAATTATTTTAGTCTAAAGTCCTGTATTTAAGGCAAATGCATCTAGTTCCAATATAGGAAGAAACTTTTCAGATGGGTAGCAGCATCTCATTTGAACAGCAAAAAGCACTGAATTGACTCAGAGAAGATTATTAGTAATGCCCATGCTGTCAGTTACTTGTCAAAGTGTCATCCTTCCCTGCAGCTTTCTTTTCCTCCCAGCATAATTCTCTCTCTTCCTCCCTCAAAAGCCTGAACTCCACTGTAGCTTATCCAGGGCCTTTTCCAAGCTTAGCTGTGCCAGCCTCTCTGTTGTCTGCAGGGGCCTGAACAGCATCAACAAAAACTGATAAGATTTTCTAGGCGCCTACCTGTAGCTTTTTATACATTTCTGATCTGCGGGTATAGGTGGTAGGGAAATGCAGGCAGTCTGAGTTTCCAGTATAGTCTCTGTTTCTTGGATTCCTCAGAGGTGTTACAGTATGTGCAGCAGTACCTCCATTGTGCTCACTGTTGCATTTTGTATTGATTGACCGTTTCTCCGTAATATTCAATACATCTTTAAATACATCCATTTTCCTCTACTGAGATTAAAATTTTAAGATAGTTCCTGACATCATTAGATGAAATTTTTAGTCTCGGGAGAAGCTATGGTATATGCTGAAATCTTACATCATTAGACAGTTGATTCAAGGCATTATGCAATGCATCTGGCTTCTGAACAGAGCTGATTATTCAGGTGTCTAAAAATATTGGTGGCTAATCAAGAAACTGAAATAGGATTAAGAACAGACCAATATGTTGGAAAGTGTAAACAAGATCCAAGGTAATTACCATCTTTTGTGGGGCTGCTGTCACTTTCAGGTGAACAGAAAACTACAACAGCTAGAGGTTAATATGCTGGACCACTTCTGTTTAGTTCACAGCTGAAGAGACAAAAGTCAACAGAGGGTAGACTGAGTGAAATTCAGAAACTGAAATTTCTTCATATGGCCACAGAGGGGCCTTCTTAATCCATGCATTGCCTAGATACCCTGCATGTTTATGGCCCAAAAAAGACTCCAGGTTTGAGTGTGTGGGGTACTCACTGCCTGCTGCCAGCTGCATGCTTCTTTGTAGTCCTAGACAAATTATTGTCTTGGAGATACTAAAAGTGCATGTGCAAGGAAGACTGTACTGCCCTTTTTCCCAAGGGACATTTTATCTATAAAAATATATGTGAAATCTTGCTTTCAGGTACAAAAGGAAAATTCCCTGTTGCAGTTCTGTGAGAATTTCCTGGGTTTGCAGAGGAGCCCGCAATTTTTCTTTCTAGTGTTTATTTGTCCCTTACAAAGTAAAACCTGCAAGTATTTTTGAGCACAAGATTCTGAAGTTTGTATGTCATAGTAACGTTGAATGCTCAAATACTTGTCCTCCCTGGATGGAATTAGTTTAAATATGTATTTTTCTATTGCATACCAAAGGAGAAATACGATGAGGCCATGCCTTTTTACTGGCTGTTAATTTACAATAGTACCTGTCACCTGACGTTCTGGCTATGCAGCCTTTTTTTGTGCCAGGCACTTTGTTTAAATATGCTTTTCATCTGCAAAAATGTCATCAGGTGATCTTTACATACATACCTGTCAGTGATCGGGTGGCCTGATGGCTAAGCATTACTCTATACATGGTTGTGACACCACTGAGAAAGCAGTATACGCTGGCTTGGGCCAGCTGAAAAGGCAGAAGCAAGGGTTGTCTAATGGAACAGGCAGGGATGTCTCTTGTCTTGATGATAATGATTTAAGTCAGTTCAGGAAGTGAAGCAGTAAGCTGACTTTTTCCCTGTTTACAAGCTAAACACTAGGTTTAGCAGCATAATACATTGAACTGATTCTATTTGAGCTGATTTCCTAAGGAGGATCTTTGGGATTCAGATTCAGCTGAGTGTCAGTGCCAGACTTGGAATAGCCAAGACTTAAAAGTTGAGAGTTTTGTCCTCACTGACGGCAGCATTGAGTCTGCATTGATTCCCATCTGGACATGCTTTCAGTGCAAAATACTGTGGGGTGGAGTAGAAAGGAAAATGTCAGAGCTATCTAGCAGCCCAGTATGTCAGTGTCAGGAAGGGAGAGGCTTAGAACTAATGATAAAATCGAAATAGATTCCGCCTTTTCAAATGAGTGCCTTCATACGAGAGCTGCTGTTACCTAATTTACTTTTTAGAGCAAGCTGAAGGGAGGTAAATCAGAAATCATAGAAAAGGGAAGTGGGCCGCTTTCTAATTTTGCTTAGGTTTTAAATTAGAAGGGAATTTTAATCAAGTTTTTAATTTTTTTTTTTTTTTTTTTTTTTTTTTTTACAATTCTGCTTGTTGACATGAAAATTGTAGTGTAACACTTGAGTAGATTAGGAAAAAAGCTGACATGCCACTGGAATTAATTGTTGAGCTTATTTTTAGAGTGTACATGTTTTCAACAAAATGCTACAACTTTACAAAAGTAATAGTTCTTTGACAGTGTGTTCTGTAGACAGTGCAGAAAGACCTTTGCTGTTATTTACAGTTCCACTTCTATTTTGTCTGGCTTTTATCCTATCAATTTAAAATAAATGTGTTTATTTTTTAGTTTTTTCTTTCTTTTTCATTTGTTATGCTTACAAAAAAGCACTCAAAAGTTCTAGAAAGCTTGTTCTACTAGTCTGTATGAATGCTAAAAGCAAACTAGAAACCTTCCCAAATGACCTAGACTGTGTAGTTTGTGCTGAGCTATGTGGTGCAAGAGGCTTTGACTCCACACACAGAAAACTCCTTTAGGAGTCTGGCTCATTGTCCAATAATTTTCACTTGGATTGCACTCTTGGTGTTGTGCAAATATTTAGTGATTTACGTATTGCTAAACAGAGCACTGTTCTGGAATGAGCCATTCTCACAGGCTTCCCAGGGCTGAGCTGTAATGAGGACATCAAAGCTCATTTGAAATGCATGCACATTGACCATATTTTATGCCGTTTCTCTTCTGCTCAGAAACAAGCAAGATAACAATCCACAAGGCTGTCATTATAGACACAACCTGATTACTCTTTCAGCAGGTGCTCTGTATCATTAATGAAACAATTAATAAGCAGAAGAAATATTTAGTTCGTCGTAAGTTAGTTACCTGGCTAGTTTGGGGCTTTCATTAAAATGCCCACAGCAGGTAAATTTGAACTATATGTTAGCGTTTGTAGCAGATATCAGAAATTCCTGTTCTTGCTCTCAGCTAGAGCAGTTTCTGGTTTGGGATTATGCTAGTTTGTGGGTTTTTATGATTATGGTTGTAGTATCTTGTCAAATGGGAGTGTCTTTTATCTTTCACTGAAAGTACTCTTCATTAGAAGTAGTCCACTTCTGACTGAAATTACTCTCCTGAAAATCACTCCCTGCTGAGCCTCCCACCCTTCAGCCAAAATACTTGTTTCTTGTGAGCATCAAAGCAGTGTCAGAGAGCACTGGACATACCATACAACTGTCAGTTTTACCAGTTTCCTGGCACAAATGGATGTACACTAGGTACAGAAGTCTGAAAACTTCTATGTTTTGGGGGAGTGATGTGAAGCAGAGTGAGGAAATTACTCTTCAAAGTTCAAAAAATGCTGCCTGTTTTTGCATTATATTCATCCGCTTCTGTGCGTGTGTCTTTCCACCTCACTGATGTCAGCTAAAACTAATGCCATTAGGAAAGCTCCTTCATTATTCTGCTAACAGAAGTTTGTCTCTTACCTCTTTACAGTGCAGTCCTATGGGTGGAGTGTAGGGTCCTTTGGGGGAAAATCTCGAGGAACTCCTGATGACAGCAAACCAAGTAGAAGCAGCAACGGTGAAAACAATAAGATGATCCAAAAAGAGCACACAGTGGCAGAGTTGCTGAGGGTGGAGAGGGGAGCCCCTCTATATAGTGTCCTTCTAGCTCTGATAGTGCATTATCAGCTCAGTCACACAACAGGGCAGGGGAGAGGACACCCCAGCAGTGAAGAGCAGTCTTCATCCCAGCTGAACTCTTGGCACTGGGGTTGCTGCTGCTGTTATAGATATGAATACACTGTATGAATATTCCAGTGTTCATGGTGCTTACTAAAGGCTGCTACTGAACTCCCAGCCGTGAACACAGACTTCTTGGAGTCCCCTGATTATTTCAGGAGGGTGGAGAGAAGCATTGTTTGGGGGAAGTCTGGTATTAATAGACACAACAGGACATTTCAGAATGGGATAATTCCATAATGGTGGGAGTGAGGAGGGGGAGAAGGGCGGCTGCTATGGTAACAGCTTAGCCTGTCCAACACTTCCCTTTGCTTGCAATAGAGGAGGTTCTATGGGACAGCAGAGAGGGTTTGTGAGTGGGGAGGGGTTGATAATGGTTTATCAGTCCAAATGGCTGAAGGCATCTTATTCAGCTGA